TTGGGCTGAGGATAAATTAGTCCTAGCTATAGGTCCATGTAATAATTTTTGTAACTCATTTTCATTAATGTAATACAAATTGTTCAATAAAGACCGAGGCCAGGCCTCACTCTTAAAAAAAAAAAAAAAAAAAAAAAAAATAAGAAAAATAATATAAATAGGCAGATAATAAAGTCTATTTATGTGAAAGGCTGAGATAATAACAGTCAGACCTAATATATAAGGCAGAATATAATATCTTGCACAGCTGTAAGAGTTGAGCATACAGTAAATAATTTTGTAAAAGATAACTTTAAAAGATCATTTTTAACATCTTTAACATTTTATGATCTTGATATAAAATTCTTTTTTATTATAATATATCTCTGTTTTTTTATAATCAAACTATTTAAACACTTATATAATATATTAACAAACACAATCACAATCAAACAGTTACTAGTATTACATTCTCTATTAATTTTATTTATAGTAAAACTTATATATATTTTTCTAATAACTTACTTCTATCTAATCATATTATTATTCCCTTTTATCTTCTTTCTAAATTTTATAATTTTTTTCTTAAATCCTATTCTTTCAACTCTATTTCTAATTTATCAGACTTATTTCTTAACAGCACTTCATCTCTATATCCACTAACAACTAGGTCACAAATCTTTATACTAACCTAAAACTTACATGACCTTCATTTAAATATTGTTACACATAATGTTTGAGACTTCAATACAATAACCAAAAAGAAAACTTGACAAAACTACTACCTTTACAACAACATCAATATTGCATGTATTACTAAAACAAAAATTGTCAACAAAACTAATCTTCAATTTTGCAATAACAATCTTTTATTTATTTCTAATACTAAATGCAATTGCAAAAATGCATCTAACCAAAACCTTAAATGCAAAAAATGAATGTATCCCGTCGAGAAATACATATCAATTTTCAGAAAATCAATTCACAGACATCTTATTTTATGGGCAATCAATTTATAGACAAGTTTATTTTAAAGACAATTAATTTAGAGATAGTTCACTTCATAGATAGTTCATTTTACAGACATTAATATCTAAACCAATATAAAATCCTAATTATTGGACTTGTGAGATTTTGGGCTTGCTGGAATCGTCTTATAAAGGAGATCAGTTTGGTAATTAAATTATTTAAAACAGACTACTGGATTGGGAATTATTCTCTTTTAAAGATTGCCTATAAAATGAACCGCCTGAAAAATTGGTTGTTTTTTAATTGAACTGTCTGAATTAAAAATAAACTTGTCTATGATTGATTGTCTATGTAATAAAGTGTCTATGAAATAATTTTCTGTAAAGTGATACGTATCCCCATAGAAATAATTGTCACCCAACCAATAATATATGTAAAAACTTCATGTAATATCTTTAAATTGCACTGCGCTGCGTTATGAATAAATTCTATCTTCTAGCGACTTAAGTGCCAAAACAACGAATTCAATTAAATAATTTGGAATAAACTTAATTTTATTGGAATCAACCCTTGGTGGGTTCTAAATTCCATTCTGACGTACGACATTAACGCTAGTGTAACTTAATAAACCTGTTTTATAAAAACTGGCCATCCTACAAACTATATAACTTGTTAACAAATGAAATTTTATAATTTGTGTAAATATTAGATACTTAATTAAATTATTATGTTTATAAATTTTGTTAAAAAAAGCTTTTCTTTAAATTTGACTTATGGAACATCCTAATAGTAACAATTTAATATATGTTTGAGATAGTTATAATAGGGATGCAACGCATTGCAAACCCCCTGCAGCGTTACATATCGATATTCTACATCTCTGAGATCTATATATGTGTCTTATCATAGATACACATGATACAAACCCAAAAGGAAAGTGTCAGATGTAACATAAGATCGAAGGCTTTTTCAAAAAATCACCAGAAATCCAAAATTTTGCCTAAAAAAACAACTTTTTACGATCTAATAAAAAAATTCCTCCCGAAAATCTTCTCTATAATCATCGTAACTTTGGTGCAAATCGATGAAATCAACATTTTTTTGGGGGGTTCGTATTACTTGTTTACAGGATTAAGTCCAAGGAAATATACATATAGTATCACGATATATGCACATATATGCACATCTTGGAGAATCCGGGTAACCTAAAATACAGATACCCAGATATCTTTTAAGGACCAACTTTTAATGTGATGGCATGTCCATTATGATTTCCGTGATAAATCGTAAGAATCAACATTGATTATATTTAAGTGTGATACAATGTTTAATTAAGAGTATTTAAGAGAAAGTTTAAACGCATACTAACTAAAGATAAACAAAATTTTATCTAAAAAGAATGAGAAGGAAAAAAACAAACAACCCTTTATCGGAATATCTGAACGCATTATTTCCACTTTGTGAGCGTAAAAGATTCCATTTGTGGCTTAGTAAAAATGAGGCATGTTAAACTAGAAACGTTACACGATAATAAATAAAATAACGATAATAAAACGTGAATTTTATTTAAATCAATTAACGTTACGCCAATTACACAACTAACCTGATGATCTTGTCTTACTATTTTTCAATCATGAGTATTCTACGATGGAAGTGTAGTTGCGCCATTTCTAGATTCAGGTTTATTCATGACTAGCTTTAATAAAGTTATATGAACAGCTTAAATAATTATTTAGCCAATATTTTTTTCTAACAATTTTAAGCTAGTAATTGAAAATGGAAATTAATGCTGTATGGTACGTAAATAAGAGAAAAAGAAAGTTGATTATGAATTTTTTAGGGTATCTATTTGTACATATTAGGAAGTCCTTTGTGTTGTCGTAACCGGGGTATGACCAATTGCAGTCCAATATTCATAAATAGAGTTAAAAAAATGTGCTTATAAAGGAATCGTGTTTATGTGGAGGTTTTTTTTTATAAATTAAAATCTTAGCTTGGTCTAAACATAAATGTGACTACATATGATGTAATTATATGTGAGGTGACTATATGGAGGGACGACTGTATTTGTTTATTGTATATATAATAACAAATCTGCCATGTTGTTCAAATATTTCAAACCTTTAAATACCTCCTGTTTTCCCACTCTTTTTCCAAAATTATTCCAGTAATGACGGTTTCTAGCCGGCATACGCATTTTATGGTAGGGAGCCCCCCGGAACCAATTATGTAAGTGTTAAGCTTTTTTATATTAAAAACATCTGACGCATATCTAATGATAATTTTGCAATCATTATGTTATGAAAGAATTAATTAACAGTTCGATTATTACAGTTACAGGTATCAGTTAGAAGTTTCTCAAGAACCTATAAGAGCAAGAATGTGTGGTTTCGGAGATAAAGATCGTCGTACGATCGACCCACCTCCCATTATCAAGCTTCTCGTGACTACTATGGATGGAACGCTCGTTCCTGAAAGGTAAAGTTTTTACCTTTACAGTATCTTACATATTTGTGAGTATAAGTTAACCATCGATTGCAAATTCGTTGTCACCAAGAAGAACACTTTCAAATTGATCGCTCTATAAAATTAAATGCACAGTTCTATCGACTATTCTATGATGATTGTTCACGCCGGTTTATGGTCCAAAGATCGCAAGGAAGAACGTGGCTTAGTAGTCAATCCTACATCCATAATTGCTAAATCTGATATTCCTAGTTCAACTGTCATGCCAGTGAATGCGCCCTTGAGCACTCGAAATCTTATGGGTCATTGCACATCATCCGCGTATGTCCTCAATAATCATCTTGGCCAAAAGGGAATTTATTTTATATTTCAAGACCTTTCTGTTCGAACTGAAGGTACTCTTACCTTAAAATTCTCTTTTTGTAACATTAAAAAATTAATGATCCAGTAAGTTGTTGTAATGTTCTGTAATACGTAATGTTTGATTTTTGTTTTTTTCATAATGACTAATAATTATAAGTAGATCTCCTGATGAACTTACAAATACCCGTGGAAGCGTTGCAACTGAAGTGTACAGCGCACCTTTTAAAGTTTACTCTGCCAAGAAATTTCCGGGTATGACAGGTATCGGATAATGTTTATCTCAGGTTTTGAACTTGTTTGTTCAACTGTGGGCTTGGTAACATGAATGATAAATATGATCGATAAATAAGAATTCATGCTTCAAATTAGAATCAACCGAACTTTCTAAGGCTTTCGCGAAACAAGGAATTAAAATTCCAATTCGTAAAGAAGCATATTATAGGAAAGTCTCCAATAACAATTTGCATAATCAGCTTAAAGTAGATGTTCCTAAGACAACCGTCGAGATCTCTAGCAGTGATTCTGAAGATATTGGGTCTTTCAACGAAAGTGAAGCGCGTGATTTCTCACAGGAATATAGAAGTAAAAATATACCCATCGAAAAGCGGCTACACAAATAAGAATAAATAATTATAATTGTAAAAAAATTTTTAAGTTTCTTTTTAATTGATCAAGATTAAGATTAATAATTTCGTTTATTTTTTTTTTAGATATATTCAAGTAACCGTAGCAGTATGGATGTTTTATACCTACATTGTTTTTGTCTTCTTTTTTAAGAATTTCTACTTCATTATTCCTAACGCGTCACGCATTTCTTTCTATATTTACCAAATCCTGTGTATTTATTTGTCGAATCATGTCTATTGTTAATTTGTCAAATCGGGCATGTGTATGGTGTTGGGCTAATGCAAAACTATTGCACAAATGCCTTGATTATTAACAATATCGACGTATGGTTCAATGTTTATTAAGCATTGGACATAATTATAATTTTGTAGGCTAATCAAATTAGAATAACTGAATTCTTTTCTTCTGCATTTATGAACCTTATCATATTCTAAGGCTTATGTTAACAAATATTTTATGCTGAATATAAAAATGCTTAGGTTTAAAATAAATATGCTAAATTTTTTTGTAATGTAGGTAACTATTTCTGTCAATTTATTGAACGTCATAGAAAGACAAGTCATTCGCATATTTATCACATCAGGGCAAAAGAAATGATTATTATATATCGATATCTTTATATTAATTTATCATTAATCGTGCTAGCTTGATACGTGACACAATAATTTTAAGTTTTTTTGAGTTTACTTGGCATATATTGTGATATTGAGTTTGTCTTTAATATTAGTATTATTGTTAGAAGCAGAAGTATTGATATAATTTATTGTTACAAATTACAAAATAGGGTATAAAATGTTTGATGCTAAAAAGAATTAAACTGTTTTAACATTTAAACCATGGTCTAGAGAAGTGAAATCCGGATTAATTGGTTATCCATTTATTCGCATTTTATTATATTATGGCAGGGTGAAACCTGAGTCAGATAGTAAAATTCGCTATGTAGATCACATGAAGGTTAAAACCCGCTTTTGCATAACGATAATAAAAACAATAGCAAAACTCGGATTTCATCCTAATCCCTAACACAATTTCATATTTCACTATACATAAACCAGCCTAAGAAATCAGTTGCATACGGAATTTAAAATTAAACATCGGGTACTTAATAACTCATGACTTATCGATAAATATATATATTGCAATGAAGCAATATACAAATTGCATTTTAATTTATTTTCGCTATACATACATATATTGTATATATGTATATTCTTTTTTTTTTACTAACGCTACATCCATTAAATTTTCGAAAAAGTATTAAACTATCGCCAATAAAAATATTCAAATTATCATCTATATATAAGTGTCTAAGTTAATCTTCTTAATAAATAATTATTTCGAATTATTTTGACATTTAGTCTGCCGAAATTATTGTCGAATTCTTAAATAAATACATTAATGTAATTATTCATGTAAAAAATATGGCAACGGCGAAATTTTTTGCAAAATTACTTTTTTTCAAAAATAGACACCCATGTATATCATTGTACTATCCTTCTCTAGGTTTTTTTAATAGCCAATCGAGTATAACTATTTTCTTTGTTGAGAAAAATCTCCATATTGTTAATAAAATTTATCGCTTATAAATATTTTTTATTAATATGTAAAAAATAGTCAACCCTTTCTATGACGAACTGACAGTTCTGGAAGAAAGAAAATCATTATAGAAACTTATTGTTTTCTTAAGGACCCATGGCACTTCTATGACGTATGAAATTTTAAAATTCTGAGTTAGTTATATCCAGAGTTCGTACATAAAGATTCATTATATCCAAAGTCGACTGTATGAATAGCTTGTATAATAATAAAATAAATAAATAGTACCTTCACTGAATTTCTTTTAATTCAATAGCTTTATTATTTGTGACCTCAACATCTCTGGCACTTGAATCATACTCGTCCATGCTTAAAACTATCTCGACTTCCTTATAATCATTTCACTTCGGGATTAGATAATGCAGCGAGTATATAGTTTGCTAGGATTCATGATAAAATGAATGTTTATTATTGAGTTGAACCTTATTTAACATATTGAAAAACGAGTTGTTCCTGGTGGTGATGAAACTAAATGGAAGAGCAAACCGACTTTTAAGTCATGTACAGACATCAATAACGCTTTTTTAAAAATCAAATAAAGTAAAAGTTTTTTCATATATTCGTTTTTTACCTTCTTTAATACATGTTAAGCATTCAAAACGAGTTTTTTTTTTCATAAAAAAGTTTTCTGATTTTTGCTCGATTTGCAATATAAAGAAATGTGTGCACTTAATAAGCTTGATATTAAAAAATTATGGATTTTCTTAAAAAAAAAGCGCTGACAAAATATCCATAAAGCATTTTTCTGGGCTCATTGTCCATTTGTTCATTATTCATCATGTAAGTCCTCCATACACCAATATTAATATAAAGAGATTTAAATCAATAAAAATTAAGATAGAAACATGTAAAAATTATTAATCAAATATTTTCATATCTTTGTAAGGTCAATTTTATTGTTTCCATAACACGTAATCTCTTAAAATTTTCTACGTAGAAATGCAAACCGGGGTAAAACAGCCACCCAAAAAATATCGAGAATAAAAAGTTCATGTAAAAAATCATTTAAACCTTGCGATAATAAATAATACGTTTATTGAGTTATTCGAAATAAATAAAATGATTAATTTATTACTTTTCGTTTAAATTTTTTTGGTTGTATTTTTTTTGTTAAGCTGCATGAATTTTTAGTGCTCGATATATTTGGTACGTGACGTTCGAAACTTTCTGAGTCTTAGAAATTGGCCCATTAATGTTAATGCAGGCCGGATGATATTTAATGCAGGCCAGATGATATGCTAATGCAG